ACACAAGTATGTGGAACCAAAACACAATTTTATAATTTCTGTCTCCAATTCTTCTGTCTTTACTTGAACAAGCTCTGAAATGTATGTAGCTAGTTTGATTACATTTATAAGGATTGACAAAAAAGGTGACCATTGGCTCGATGATATTAAACTGTCGAAAGCGTTTTTAAAACTTGAAGTAACTGAAGGTTGATAACAAATGTTGATAAGTCAATTTCACCATTGCCTATCATTTTTTTTTTTTTTTTATATTTGGAAAGTGCACAAGGGACTTCCACAAAACCAGTTTAGCGTTTATAGACCAGGGGTCGATGAAATGACTAAAACTTACAAATTTTGAACTGAATATTGCTAATCTAAGGATTATCAAGCTTATTCGTTTCATTGATTGTCAGTTACAAAAATTATTATTAACATATGTACAATAAATGTAAAAAATGTAAAATTAAAAGATATATATTAAAATAGTAATAGCTTTTTTTATAATTATTTTTGCTTGTAGCGCACACTTTTTGGTAGGGGTCGATGTGAGTTTCGAAAAGTTGTAGGGGGTCGACAATCAAAAAAGTTTGGACCCTATCATTATAGCTATATGTTTGTCCTTTCCCTGCAGCTCTAAGTTTAAATAATTTGGTTTTTCCATTATGTCTGTGAAAAATGCCAAATCTGCTAGCCAACGAGGGTCTGTTAGTTCAAAAAAATTTTGATGTTTGGCATTGAAATACTTCTTTATTTCTTCAATAAAATTTACAAATCTAGCAAGAACTTTGCCTTTATTGAGCCAACATACTTCAGTATGCAGAATGAGATTGGGATCTTCAGGATTTTCTAATAGGGCCTTGAAAAAGCAGTGTTGCAAAGGAGCTGCGTGAATTAAGTTGACTGTTTTTGTAATTATTTTCATGACATGTCCAAAGGGTAGTATTTTACCACACAAAACTTTCTGGTGGATAATAGTGATACAACATAAAGTTTGGAAATGATTCATCTTTTATGCAGAAGGAAATAAATCCATTGACATGACCAACCATTGCTGGTGCCCTGTCAGTGGTTATCGCAGACAGCTTCTGGAGAGCTAATCTGTCAACTTTGCATATGTTATAGATATCCTCACCTGTTGTTCATCCTTTCATGGATAATATTTTTAGTAGATCTTCTTTTACAGTAAAGTCACTAAATACCATTCTCACCAGTGCTGTGTCTGATATGTCTGTAGACTCATCAAATTGTAGTGAGAACCACTCACATATTTCCAAGTCATTCTTTAACTGAGTTTGTATGCCTTCTGAAATGTCTTGTATTCTTCTTGTAACGATGTTATCTGACAACTGTAAGTCTTGTATTGCTGACATAATCTCATGTTTGTTGGAAAATCCCTCAAATAAGCAATCAGCGCCAGTAAGAAATGCTTCTTTTAACACTCACCATCCTGGAAAGGCTTTTTCTTCTTTATGAGCAGGTGAGAAATTTTTTAAGCAGCAATAGTGTCATTTTTGATCTTAGCACAGGTCTAGTGAAAACTAACTGTTGAGTGGACAGATTTGATTTTAGCTGATCTATTTTCTTCTTATTTCAGATTGAAGTGGATAGTTCATATTAAAAGTAGCATGAATTGTCAGGAAATGACGTTCAACGTTGTTTTTTAGGCATCGCGATGCTATTTCCACACAACAAACAAATACATTTGTCTTTTAAATTGACAAAGCAATATGAATCCTCCCATTCAGTATTAAAATTATAGGTCCATTGTCTTTTACTTGATCCACTCATTTTGAGGTAAAAATAAGGAAATATTTAAAAACGACAAAGGAGGAAACACAGTATACAAAAAATATGAGCATATAATTATGAATAAATAATGAAGTAGATACGTCAAATGAACTTTTATCTCACAGCACAAACCACGCTACTGTCTGGCTTTCACAAGACAAATGTCTTTGTTCTCATGGCAACCATAGAAATGGACCGGTTCATTTCATTTTAGGTATGGGAAATTAGGTTGGTGAAAATTTGGCATGAGGGGAAAAAGAGATCAGTCGCATTTCGCTTTTGTGTGTGTTGGATGCCATTTCTACTTTTGTGTGGTTAATCATTGAAAATGAGAAAACTTTTACATAGCATTTTATTGAAAACTGAAATATTTTTATTTTATTTTATTTGGTGGGCACTGAGATTCTTTTTTTATTTTTGTTTTGTTTGTTTGTTTGGTCTAACATAATTACTTTATTATTTTACTATACCACTGGATAGGTGACATTGAGAATCGTGAAATGATGTTTATCAATGTAGTTAGCCTTGGCGAGCAGAAATATGTCACAAGTGAAAGATTATAAGTGATTTATTGTTCAGAAAAGAAAAAAATTTGATGAAAAGTACAGATAAAAAAGAAAAGTGTAATCAAGAAATGATATTAAACTAAACTAAAGTAAAAAAATAATAAATAAAATAAAATCAGTTGGCATTTAAGTGGGAAAAGTGTTGGATAAATTGGAGTCGCTCATAAAAAGCATCTGCGTTTTAGATTTTTCCAGTCTGGACTGAGGGAACTGTCTCAAACATAACATTGTTGAGTCACTTGACGTGGCTAAAAAACATAGATTTGAAATAGTTACATATTTCATACATAAGTTGAATATTTGAAGTGGAATGAGAGGAAGCAGTTGATCGTAACTGCTAACATATGGACAAAAGGAAACAACAATTTATTTAAATCAGTAGAGAACCTACACTTACCTCAAAGACAATGGAAGAGCTGAGTAACGTGATTCCATGTAGTGGGGATGAGTGACGTAAATCTGATTCCTTTTCTTTGAACTTGGATAACTTTTCCATAGTTCAACCGAAATACACCAAAGTCTGTTAAAATATGAAGCAACTGTCTGGCTTTATATTCCAAAAGCAGCATCAAAAATTTTAAATAGTGTACTTTTTTTCTTATTAAGCATCAAAGAGACAAAAGTCGACATTTTCGGTTTTTTGAATCTATATTTTCTTATAGTTATATGAAAATTATATAATTTTTTAATAATAATTTAACAATATTAATAAGTAAACAACACATCAAAAAAGTATTTTCGATCTTCAAATACAGGAAATACACGTTCATAATTTTAGTATGTAGGTCAATTATATGCAACAAATCTGTATAAAACTAATGATATTGAAACTGTTTCGCTTTATATTATATATATTATATTGTATATATTATAACTATTTGCTTTATATATTATAAAATAAAATTTATAACAACTTTACAAGTTAGAAAATCATAACTAACTTTTGTATAATAAAATTAAACTGTATATATAATATATATAATATAGTTGAATGCTTATAAGAAGAATCATCTATATAAATTTTAACATATTTTTCTATTTTAACATATTATGAAGTTCTATTTATGAATTTTATTTAGGAATAGGCTATTGTAAATAATTATAATGATGATGAAAAAATTTTGTAATTTATTAAAAATGAACTATAATATTTTATGTACAAATTATTTTGTATGAAGAAGATCATTTTTATTTGGAATTTAATATTGTAATAAATAAAACATGTATTTACTATAGAAATCCATGTATAGTAAAACCTGTCAAAAATGGCACTTGAATGAAATGGAATAAATTCTTTGGAACAGAGCAATTTTGTGTGTTTAAAAAATCTGTTTAAAATGAAATCCAGCCAAACCAGAAAAAATATTCATTATCATGCAATTCTGGTTTACACAGGTTTTACTGTATTGGCTTTTTTATAGTAAATGTAATGTTGAAATACCTCTTTGTTATTAAGCGTCAAAAATTAAGTGTTTTTTTGATTATATCTTATGTGAGAGTTAATTATATTTTCCAAAAAAAATAATTTATGCACATGCCAGGTTCTACCGAGCATTTTGACACCAAAATCATGAAAATCTAACATGGGAATTTTTTTAAAAACTCTCACAAGAAAGTGCAAACAGTTACCCCAGTAGCCGTGGTTTTGTCCAGGCAATTAACATTATTGGGCTGCAATTTGAAAAAATTGTAGACTTAAATTTCCACTGTAGTTTGTTTGTCTTTCCTTAATCTCAAGAACAGAGTTAGATGAAAGATGAGACCTTATGGAAACCTTAGGAGCAGGAGGCCTTAATTAACTATATCAGGTTATAGAAGATGTGATTCCCTATAGTTGGAAGCTTTATTACTGTGACAATTTGAGAACTGTTTTCATCTGGAAATCATTATATATATTAACTATGAACACTTGTAATAAAAAACCTCTTAACCTCCTGGACCTTTGTGTGTCACTTTTCAAATTTCTAAAGACTTAATTTGTTGTTATAATGATTTCTGCCACTGTATTGTCAGCCTAGCATCTATCTCATTTTGGCTGTGTAAGTTTTTTAAAAAAATGTATTTTGATATTTAAAACTTGTTTTGCATCATTTTCTTTTTGTTCCATTTTGCATTTGGTCTGTTATATAAATTCTTAATGATCCTTTTTTATAACAATTCTATATGTTAAAATATTTAATTTACATTTTCTCCTTTGAATTTTTTGTTAGGTGTTCTATTATTCCATTCTAACAGTTTTGTCTGAAAAAGATGGTAATGCAGTATCAAAAGTGCTCGCTTTTATGTATTTTGTGTTAATTAAAATGAGTTTCAATGCCTAAAGACAGTTATTAATTTGTGTCTATTGTGAAATTGGTATTAAGCGTGCTTTCAATTTTAGTATTTTATATAAATCTTTATGAAGAATGTCCAAGAGTTGAATTGATAAAGTGTGTAAAATTAAAATATTTAGTAATGACATTTTATATGAAGAATGAATTTTATTTTATTTAAGCCAATGTTAAATCCATTCAAAGAATGAAGTAGTTTACTTGATGAATGAACTAGAACTACTAAAAATGATTCATTTCAGATTTTTCTTTAATTTATTCTTGTCATAAAAAATATAAAAATTTTTAAATAGCTTTTCAATAGTACGTTTATTTACATTAATGTTTCTTACAGTGGTCCAGGATTCTCCTCACAAGATCTTTATTGGTGGATTGCCAAACTACTTGAATGAAGATCAGGTAGGACAGTTGAATGTTAGTGATTTTATTGTCATTGTTAATTGGAAGATAATTGGTTTTTAAATACTTACCGAATACTTTGCAGAATTGGAGGGATGTTTGATACTTTTCATAAAAATTTTTTTCTTTATTTCCCTACAGGTTAAATTTTGCATGCAAATTACAAGTTTAAAATACATTTTATGGAGGTCTTTAAGTAGCTTGTTACTTAATAATAATCAAATTATTCAAAATTATGTATTTAAAAATGTTTTAGTTTTAGAAAATATTAAAAAAGTCATGTTTTGGTTAAGCAAATTTTGCAATATTTGATTAATTTTTCAAATTAAATTCCTACTTTTATACCTCCAGCGATATATAAAAACTTTTTTTTTAGTAATCCCTCCATTTCTTAATAACATCAGGAAGAAGGTGAGTATTGTGACAGTTGGAGGATATAATTGTAGACTAGATTATTTCATTTTTAATGAATTTTTAAAAACTTTTATATTAAAAATATAAGTTTAAATATTGATTTTTTTTAATCCCCTTTAAATTTAAAAGAATTTATTATTTTTTTTTTANGAAAAAATGGGAAACCCATGTGAGGCCTCTATACTGCCTTACATGCTCAAGGCAATGCTTAAGGCCACAAAGATAGGATTTTGCTCCACAAGAAGGTTAGTCAGGAGTATATGGTGACTATTCCATTGAATAGTCCATTATTTATACTTGCATGCACTTGTATTTAACTAATACATAACAGAAGCAAAATATAGCTTGATGCAATATGACTTATACAGGATGTAGACAAAAACATTTTTGTTTACATTCTGTATAATAATTCTTATTGCTCATACCAGAATGCAACAGGAAAATATGTGTGTTGTACTTTGAGACATGCCAACTATTAATGCAGATTGTTTTGAATTTTAAAAAAATTATTTCTTAATTATTGAAAAAATGGTTGAAGAAGAATACAAAATAAAGATTTTCTCTGTTCAAAAATATTTAAAGAATGTGTGTTCTTTTAAATTATGTAAAAATCACGGTATTATTTTTTATTTTATTTATTATTATTTTTTTCTACGAAAAGGCAGAGAATCCTTTTTATATGCATGACAGCAGCATATAATTATTAATATAGTTAATGGCATAATTATTGCATTGATAATGTTGGGGGAATTGAATTTAATCCAGTCAAACAATTAAAAAAATTCATGTAATTTAATTTTTACTCTATTATGTACTCATTTGAGAATGTTGGGTGCTTTCTTGATAATTTAATAATTGTATTTAACATATATATTTATTTATACATATAAATATATTTATTTATTTATTTTTTTTTACTGAACAGTGTTCCACGTTATTATGATAAGGGGAAATCTGATATATTTTATTGGTTTAGTGTTTAAATATCATTAATATAGTCATTTTATATATGTATCTATATAATTATTAATTTCTTAAGCACATATATCTGGAATAATTGTTATATCTTGAGTTTAGTAAATACTTAAAATATATCTAATAAACGAAATAAAATGAATTGCTGCATTTAAAATTTTTTCTTTTCTTCTGATTTAATCATTAACAAATAATTAATAAAGTAAATTACATTAAAATCAAACCTGATAATTTTTTCCATGTTAATAACCAGATGATACGGCCAGATTCTTATTGGGCTATAATATCATTTGATTATATTAATTGGATTAATTGGAAAGATACTAAATAGAACTTTTTCTAGTTAAATTGGAAATAATTGTTCATTTAACCATTTGTTTAATTAAATAGATTAGCTAATCAGCTAATAAACCAGATTTTATTTACATTATATATATAAATCTATCTGGTAGGTCGCTCATGTATGTTTGTTAATTAAGAAGCTATCATCTTGATCTAAAATATATTTTAATTATTCTCAAACTGGTTGCTATTATAACTGAAATCAAAACTGATAATTACCATCAAGTTATTTAATAAAATAACTTTTTTCCATTAAGTAATTTTTTGGTAAATATAAAATTGTATTTTGGCAATATTTACATATCTGTTTATGCCTATATTCTGTAAGAATGTAGGCATAAACATTGCACCAGGCTATATTTTGCTTCTGTTACATATTAGTTAAATACAAGTATACAAGAGTATATGTAAATTGGTAAGTTATTTGATGGCATAGTTTCATTGCATCTTGAGCCCTCTTCTCTTGGGGCCAAATCCTATCTTTGTTTCTATGAAATATAGTAGCACAATTTAAATCATAAAATGGCAGAGAATCTTAAAATTAGTTAAAAATGATTTTTTTTGTTCAGTTAAAATACATAAAGGGGATATAACTGGAAACTGTGAAAAAATGGGAAACCCATGTGAGGCCTCTATACTGCCTTACATGCTCAAGGCAATGCTTAAGGCCACAAAGATAGGATTTTGCTCCACAAGAAGGTTAGTCAGGAGTATATGGTGACTATTCCATTGAATAGTCCATTATTTATACTTGCATGCACTTGTATTTAACTAATACATAACAGAAGCAAAATATAGCTTGATGCAATATGACTTATACAGGATGTAGACAAAAACATTTTTGTTTACATTCTGTATAATAATTCTTATTGCTCATACCAGAATGCAACAGGAAAATATGTGTGTTGTACTTTGAGACATGCCAACTATTAATGCAGATTGTTTTGAATTTTAAAAAAATTATTTCTTAATTATTGAAAAAATGGTTGAAGAAGAATACAAAATAAAGAATTTACATTATTAATTAATTAAGAAATTGAATGATTTTGCATCTCTGGTCATGGATTATGTAACAGTAGCTTTCTGTTTTCTTTCATTACAAAGTCTGGATATTTTACATTAGAATCTGATATATAAATGCAAAAAAAGAAATTATCAAAATAGTATTTCTGGTTAGTTAAAATAAAGTTACTTGCCTTAAATATATACCAGTATAAAATTAAAATTTAAAAATTATATCTAATCAGTTAGTTAGTTAAATTGTATGTTGAGATTATAGTTATATCCTTTATCAAATATTTTTAAGTTTCCATAAATTTTTTTTTGTAAAAAACCTTTTTGTTAAACTTAAATAACTTATCCAATTTTAATTGATGGCTTTTTTATAATATATTATAAATCTCTTTAACGATATATAAATTGTTAGCTATATTCATGAGGGATAATGATAGTGGAACAAAATGAATTACAAACCTTAAAATTTTAAAATTTAATAAAACAACAGTTTGTTTTATTTAATTTTAAATTTTCATTTCTTATTTAATATAAATGGAAATTTTTGCATTTGTTGTCAGTAATAATTGCTAAATTATTGTAAATCTTTTCAACAGTCCTTCAAAGGATCATTGAAAGACTGAAGTGACTGTTTTATTTTTTAAATCCTCTTAGGATTTTTGGTTATATATATATATGTATATGTATATTTAAATAACAATTATAGTGTATGTTGTAAAGACATTCTATACATTTGGTGTAATTATTTAATTCAGAATACATAAAGTAAGTCATATCTTTAAATAACTTTCACAAAAATCAGAGTAATATTCTCACTGAAAAAATTGCAATACACACATTTGTATAATGCCTGCTGTTAATATGCTGCAAAGAGCTTTTTTGTGATTTTATATATTGAATTTGTATAAACCCAATATTATGATATTTCACAGTTATTTATAATAATAATGGCATAAGGATTCCAGAGACATAATTATAAAAATATGACTATTTAATTTATTACCAATATAAAAACAAAAATACGGGTATCCAAAAACATTAAATTGTAAGAAGAATGAATAGTAACAAATTTCTTAGTAAATTTAATTAATTAATTAATTATAGAAATTTGGCTTAATCTTATGGCATAGCCATCATTTGTGTAAATGGATTAATGATTAGAAATTAATTTTGAATTGATAAAAAATTATATAAGAAAAGTCTTAATACAACTTGGAAATAACCCACCAATTTAGATTTATGTTTAACATTAAAATTGCTTTTAATATGCTTAAAATGTTTTAATTTAGCATTTTGAATTTTATTTTCAAATAAAGAACTTAAGACAAATTTTTAGAATTTATGTAATGTTGGTATGTGATAAAAATATCTAATTTATTTATTATAAATTATTAACTACAGTTAAAAGTAATAGTAATAACAACAATTAATGTTGTAGCAATTTCTTGAATTTTCTTTTAAAATAGTATTAATTTTATTCTAAGTGAAACATAACATTTCATATCATTTATTTTTTGAATACAAGATGATTGGGATCATAAGATAAATTTATTTTCAGAAAAATGGTATATAAATTATATTTAAAATCAAAATTTACCAATATTTATTATAGAAAATTACACTACAGGAAAGAGAAATAAGATTTATTTATTTATTATCTTAAAATTATTCAAAAATTCACATTTTTCGTCACATTCATCATTAATAATATGCAGAATTGATTTATATAGCTGTATACTGAATTGTTTTGTGTAGCCAAGGCCTTATAAGCAAGATAGTTTTATTGGATATTAAAAATAGTCAAGCTTAATAATTAATTTCTTAATTTTCAATAGTGTTCTTTGAGTTTTGTTTGTTATAACTTTTGATTTTAAGATTTAAAAAAAATGTTGAGGATTAAAAAGATTTTAGATAATAGTTTTTATAAATCATTTATATATTCTGAACTGAAAAGTATTATATTTAATTAAGGTATGCAAAGAAAATTTGAATTTAATTATTATTGAGATTACAATGTCATTCATATATTTAGTATATGAATACTAAATTTAAATATATTGTACATTGAATGTTATATATATATATATAACATATATATGCTGTATTTATTACTTTTCTATTTTATTGTACACAATTATTAGAAAGTAAGTGTAAATTTTGAACTTTATTGTTTAATTATTGACACATTTTTTTCCATTAAAAATAATATATTTGTATACATTTAGGACATTTTGAAACGATTGACAGGCCATTTTGAACAAATTATATGCAAATAGTGTTTTAAGCTATTGCATATACAAAGATTTTGATTGATGAATGGATAGAAAAAATGTGAATATTAATAATAATGAAAGTGAAAAAAAAAATGTCTCTATCAACTGCTTATGAAATATTGCCAATATAAGAATATCGGAGAGAACTCTACTAAAAAGTTGTAAATGATGAAGATATGCATATTGAAGTAATACTATTGGAGAACCTATTTTTAAATTGGGAAAATCGATTAAAAAGAGTTTTCAAATTAAAAGTTACGAAAGAATTTAAGTTAGATATTGCTATATTCATTTTAAACTTTTTCAACAAGTATTTCTTTATTCTTGTTCTTCATTTAATAAAGTTTGTTTAATATTCTAAAAATTGTCGTAGACTTAAAAATGTTTGGCTTATAATAAGAAAAGTTTACTCAGAAAAAACATAATATATAAGAAATGGAAGATTAAATTCGTAGTTATATAATCAAAATACTATATCAAAAATTATTTCTCTTTATCAATAATATATTTTAACTATCTGTAATTAGTTTATATAGCATTTAATCTGGAACTATACAGTTACAAAATTGATTATTGAGATTATAAAAACAAAAATATGATTCAGAAATCAGTTAGTATGATTATGTTAGTTATAACATAATCATACTAACTGATTTCTGAATTGTATGATTATGAATAGTATGATTATGTTAGTTATAACATAATCATACTAACAAATCATACTTACAAAGACCACACATTCAAATATGCATGCAAAATCGTATTCTGTTTGTATGTATGATGACAGTGTAGAGTTTTAAAAAAGTAATAAATATTTAAAGGTTGATTTGTTATAACTGAGTTTATGAATCAAACATTTTTAAGAAACACATCAACAAATATATGAAATATTTATAAATAAAACACAAATTTAGTTTATAACTATGCAATGCTTCAGTACTATGAACCTCAGAACATTAGAAACCTTACAGTTTAGTAAACATTAGAAAATTTTCGACAGAAATAGAACTGAAATAAATTTATTAAATTACTAAAGAGCGAGGAAAAGTATATTTAATGTTTTCAGTTTTGTTGTTCACTTTTATTTAACTACAGATATAAAAAAATCACTGTTAAACAAAAATTTTTAAGTAAAAAAANTTCCTTTCTTTGCACCTGTGTTGTTATCTCTTTGCTAGCGAGTGATGTGAGCATGCACTCACTGTTGACAATTCAACAATGAACATACACTCATATCACTCGCTAGCAAAGAGATAACCACATGGGTGCAAAGAAAGGGATGGAGTCTTTGATGTCATCAGATGTACTATCACATGTTTGCTAGTATTTTGCTCTCTCAAAGCTGTAGTTTGTGGCAGCTCTAGAGGTTGATGGGATGGGGAGATAAAGGGGGTCATGTGTCTTATCTCGAGTAGGATCAAACTTAATGACAATTTTCCTTATTATTAGCATTTACTTTTTTTTTTTTTTTTATAGAACCCATCCCTACTCTCAAAATTTAGTTTTTTTCCATTTTACAATAATTAAAATTATGAAACGTTTTTACCATATTTTGACGAGTATAAGTCGCTGTCAAGTATAAGATGCACCCCTATTTTGAGACAAAAAATTTAGAAAAAAACTGTTCTAATGGGACTGTCTAAAGATGCATTTTATTTGTTTTTTTTTATTCAAGAATATGACGGATGGATGAATCGATACCTTTATTAAACTGAAATAATCGTCATTTCTTAATGTAAACTCAGAGGTCACGTGATGATAGTCGACAGAACATGGCGGCAATGACTCGTGTGTCACTACTCTGATAATCTAGATGCTCTAGCCATTCGGTTGAGGGACCACCTGCTTAACAGACCACTGCACAGGTTGGTCCCTAGAGTGGACCACTACTGTAGGTAATTTCACTGTAAAAATGGTTGCCTGTTGAGTATAAGACGTACCATAATTTTGAGCTCCAAAAAATAGTAAAAAAAGTGCAATGTATACTTGTCAAAATACGGTAATAATAAAATATTGGGTTATTGTAACAGATGGTGCCTCAAACTGTTTTAAATGTTGCCAGGAAAGATATTGCTGGATTTTTTGTTATTGGATATAATAATTATTTGGAAATTGTTCTATTTTTTTTTATTAGTATATTACTTATAAGAATAATAATCTTTATTGAGAGTTTAAAAATTGTTATGTGAATTTTGGTGTTTATTGTGTGTTTTATTTATAAAACTGTCCAGTTATTTGCTATACTTTATTTTGTTGTAACATTGTTAATTTAATTTTTTCAGGCTATTGCTGGACTGAATGGGATGCAACTGGGAGATAAGAAACTTATAGTTCAGAGAGCAAGCGTTGGTGCAAAGAACAGTCAGATGAATGTATGATGATATAATTATCATAATATATAAAATATTTCTAATTTTTATAATAATAATAATAATAATTTTTTTAGGCTCCAGTGCAAGTTCAGGTACCAGGTCTTAATCTTACTGGTGGAGCAGGTCCACCCACAGAAGTTTTGTGTCTCATGAACATGGTCATTCCCGAGGAATTAAGAGATGAAGAAGAGTATGAAGGTTAGTTTATTTAAATATCTACTGAATTATTACTTTAGAATTTAGATCTGTAAACTTAATATTCCATGTATTGTCAAATTTTTTTACTTTTAATTTCATGCAGGAAATACATGTATAGGCTTGCATTTAATGTGGACTGTTGTTTTGTTTTGATGATATTTTTAATACATACATCAAACAATATTATAAATTTCTAATTGCCATATTTATTCTAATAAACAGTGCATTTACCAGTACAAGATAACTATTATTTTTATTCTTTGGAAGTTAGGTGTGACTGTTATTTCAAGGCTACTGTTAATGGAAAAATCTGGTGATTTTTTTCATATTATTATTTGATAAACAACACAATACTTTATTTCAATTTACTGTAAGAGTGACAATGCTGAATAATATGTGAAATTTTTTCTAGTTTAAAATAAGTCCTATCTTTTTTCAATAGACACTTACTATTAGAGGATACTCTAACCTTTTCTACACTGTTTATTAGAGTAAATATGGTATATAAAATGTGACCAGCTGTTTTGAATCAATGCTTCTCATGCATTAATACATTTTTATGTTATTGATACAATGATGACAATTTATAGAAGTTAAAGAACAAACTATTTTGATTTTTTTAAAATCAAAATAGTTTGTTCTTAAGGTATGGTTCTGATTAAAATACAAATAAAGTTTTCCAACATATTCCAGTTACATCTATCAATTATTTTCATTTTGTAATTAACATTCATTAATAAATCATTTTTTTAACTTTATTATTATATCAGTTCTAACAAGTCATTAATAAAATTATGACAAAACTTGCAAAATCTGTAATTAAATACTTGTTAATTTATATTTGATAACTTATTCTTTTATAATCCAAAATTTTAAATTAAGATATAAAGTAACTTATAAGCTAAATTATTTATGAAAAAAATTAATCTTGTTTCTTTATTTTTTCATTAGCTGCTATTTATTGAGTCAAATCATTTATATGTGTGAATGTATAATTTATATTTCTTATAGCCAAAATTTGTAATTAATTACCTTATCTTTTTTACTTATTTAATATATAATTAATATAAATATTTTAGGATTAATAATGCTTATAAGTTGAGAATATATTAAATGGCATATTAAAAAAAATCTTTATCAACATTTGCTGTAGCAGATATCAGACATCTTTTAGATAATTGTCGCAAAGAAAGGAAACTGATAAAGAAAATATTTCTAATTATTTTTTTTTGTGCTTTAAAAATTAATAATGTAAAATATATTGCAAATTATGTAATAAAAATTTTAATCTTATTTGAATATTGAAGAAAAATAATGCTGTTGTTGACAGGAAAACAATTATTGTAGTCAGAATTTATTTTTTTTTAAATTTTATTTTATTCAGTATAAAATTAGTTACATCTAAAAATCTTATTTAAAGTCTGTCTCATCTTTAATACTTGCATTAGAAAATAAAGCACAATAGAAAGTAATTAAAATAAAGTTTGTAGAAATATAATTTTAGAATTAACAAGCAATTATTTATTGTGACGTTGTCACAATGCCAGGCTGCAATTTTTAATCATATTTTTAATTTATTTAATTTAAAATATATGCTCTCCACCTAAAATTAGTAGCGGCTTGCCCCTGTACTTCATACTTTTCCTTTAACAACAAGGTTGTGCCAGTCATCTATCTAACTCCTTTCAGGGAAAATTTTTGAATTGAAATAACATGACTCCTAGTTTGCATCAGAAGTTCATATATAGTTAATTGGGCCTCCAGCCCAAAGTATCCATATCTGGTCTCGACTTTTATCTGTCTAACTTTGTTCTCAATTCTTTGAATTGTACAATTCAAAACAAAACAATCTTTTTAATTCAGCAATAACTTTTTATAACAAAGCATTAAATGTTTATTAATAAAATATTATTGTTAGATTATAAAGGCTGATGTTCTGAATTGTTTAAATAGCTGTTTATGCAGTTTATTTGATTTCTTATTTACCAGTTACAAATTGGAAACATGTTTAGATTTATTATTTTTGAAATTTTTCTTGTGATTCATGAGTTGCACTGCCTGTCACAAAATTCACAATTTGAAAAATTATATTAATCTGGCAATTGGAATGGTGAATAGCCTGAGAGCAGTCTGGGGGAAGTCATTCGGTGAAAAAGAGCACAAAATATGAATCAATGTTGGTCAAATACAATTTTACTGTTAATAAAAACAAAGTTGATTCTTTTTACCTCTTTGACCTTACTGTTTTACATTTCTGTGTATATATATTTGCCTACTTGGACTTTGTTTATTAATAGAACTTATTACACTGATGAATTTTCTGATTCTGCAAAGAGAGAAAATCTTAGTCAAAAGTCAAAACAAACAGATATTTTGTTTTGAAACATCTGCTTTTTTTTTGTTGTTCGTTAACTTGTGACTTTTGTTACACACCACTGTGAAAGAACCATGAGTTAAAGAATTTGTTACCAACTCTCACCCTATCTGTTTTGTTCTCATGTATTGATATCCCATCATCCTGCATTGTTTCATTCTTAAAACTTTTGCAACAAACTGTGATAGCTAATATGTTAATATTTGTGGAATTTGATTTTGAAGAATATAAAATTGTGTGCTATTCACAACTTTAATATTACAGTAGAATCTGCTTGTTGTAATTATGGATATTGCTCTCATTCATCAAATGCTATTAGAATTAACAAGTCCAAAAACATAAAGCACTATCTACGTGGTATGGGTGCTGTATAATTGTTGATAGATGCAAAAATTACTTTATTCCTGATATATTGATTTATCATTTATTCCATTAAACTTTTAAAGTATATCTTTACATCATTATTTTAATAATGATAAAATGATCATTTTATCATTGTTGTTATCCAATAAAGTCTTGTGTCATTTAACTTAGGTTGATTTTTCACACAGCTTCACACATCAGATTAAAGTGATTTTTGCATATATAACACTATAAAAACTTGCTTGCAATCATAATACAGTTATAGTTATCATTGTTTTCAAACATTTATATATTTTTAAATAAGTTAAAATATATAAAATATATTCAAATATATGTGTTAAAAATTAAATAGTATTTTTGTATTATCAACTTCAATGTATGTCTGATAATGTGCAATTGTTATCAGTCTTAGACATTACTTTAAATGTTAATTGTTTTAATTATTTGCTTGCAGTACAATAGTTTAAATTGTTGGCATTTCTTCAATCATACACTAGCTGTTGTTAAAGGCTGTACTGAAAAAAACAGCAGACAAACAATACTGGATGAATTACTATAATTAATAATAGTAATAATCAGAATTAATAAATCTTTCAGTTATACAATTTTTAATTGTTTTAACGTGACAGTGTCAACAAAACCTGAATTTTCACTAATCATATTTGCTTATTTCATTTAATGTTATTGATTGGTTATTGTTATTAATAATGATATAAATCAAAAGTGATTATAATAAGCAAATTTTATTTTATAACTTTAATTTATTTAATATTTATTTTCTGATTATAAATATTGTATATGTTTTTAGATATTCTGGAAGATATAAAAGAAGAATGTAATAAGTATGGTGTAGTAAAGAGTGTTGAAATACCAAGGCCCATAGAAGGTGTGGAAGTACCTGGTTGTGGGAAAGTAAGTTTTTAGAAATATTGTATCTAGCCTTTTTTTTTTTTAAATTTATATAATTTTATAATATCAATATTTTATTATAGGTATTTGTGGAATTCAATTCAGTCATAGACTGTCAGAAAGCACAACAAAACCTAACTGGTCGGAAATTTAACAATCGTGTCGTAGTAACTTCGTATTTTGACCCAGATAAATATCATCGACGTGAATTCTAAGTCTCCCGATTTTTGATTTTCAGGCGATAACTAAATTTGTTTTTGAACAGCCGTATAAATGGAAAGAAAAAAATTCAATGGGGTTGTAAATTTTTTTATTCATTTTTTTGTTTATTGATCTTATAGAAGATGGGTAGAAATAGCGACTATTTTCTAGTGTCAGTGTTCCCATTGAACTGATTTCATCTGTCTCCCAGTCTATATGGTCAATGCACTCCATTTTGTTCACTAATATTTCTTACAATAAAAATGATCATTTTATCATTATTGTTGTCCAGTGGTATTTATTACTAGAAATTACATAATCCATTCATTACCATGGTAGAATAAAGAAAAATTAATACCATACAATGCAATTAATACAAAATAATAAATGCGCATAGAGAAGTTTTGGGGTTACTTACATTAGCAAAGGTACAAGTAACATAATGTGTAGTATATTTTTATTGTAAACAACACATCCATTAACATTATTAGTAGACAAAGTTGATTTAATTTATCATTTAATAGAAATAAAACTTTAATATTGCAAGATTTCTGATAATTATCTTTTAAAAATTGCATTAAAAATTTTATTATATTATATTACATAAAAATATTGTTTACCTAATGAACCAAAATAAAAACACTTGATTATAATTTTTGTTGAATTATAAATTAATAAAGTAGAATAACCAATAAAAATATTATTTTATCATCACTACATTTATCATTTTCATCTTTTAACTTTTTTTTTAAGTAAAAATTAATATACAAAACAATTTTCTAAATTAGAAATGTTATATTTAATTTTTAAAAAATTTAAAAAATTCAGAATATTTTTAGAAAACTTAATAAAATTATAATACCAAATTATTTTTAAAATTTAAATTATAAAAT